AGTTACTTGTCATTAATAATTTATGAAGGTGCAAAGATTAATTGTTTGATGATTAGGCGCCACAACTATAATAGTAGTGCAAGCAAGGTCTTTATGTTAGTGATTAGGTTCTACGGCTTCAAAAGTAAAGGCCTAATGTTTGGCAATTAGACTCTATGGCTGTGACAGTAGTGTAAGGATCTCATGTTTACGATTAGGCATCGTAGCTACAATAGTTGTGCAGACTGTGTTTGATGTTAGGCTTCATGCTGCGATAGTAGCGCAAGAACCTCATGTTGGTGTGGCTGCGATAGCGGCGCAAGAACCTCATGTTAATGATTAAGCTTCGCAGCTGCAATAACAGTGCAGAACCTCACAATGGAGATTAGGCCCCGCGGTTACAATAGTAGTGCACGACTTATGTTTGATAATTAGGTTCCGCGGATGCGATAACAGCACAGTGACTTCATGTTGGGTGATGGGGCTTCGTGGTTGCAGTGCGAATCTCATGTTGGAGATTAAACTCTGTGGTTACAATAATAGCGCGAAGCTTATGTTTGACGATTAGGTTCCGTGGCTGTAATAGCAGTGAAAAGATCTCAGATTTGGTCATTAGGCAAGAACCTGATTAGGCACCACAGCTGCAATAACAGTGCAGGGGAAATTAGGCTCCGTGGCTGCTATAGCAGCACAAGAACATCATGTTGTTATTAGGCCTCGTGCTACAATAGTGGTGCAATGACCTCATTTTTGATGATTAGGCTCTGCAGCTGTGAAAGCAGTGCAGAGATCTCTCGTTCGGTTGTTAGGCAAGAACATCATAATGTTGATTAGGCTGCGGCTGCAAGAGCCTTATTCGAGTGCAAGGACCTAATAGCACCACGGCTACAATAGTAGTAATGATCTAATATTTGAATAATTAGACTCTGCAGCTGCGATAACAGTGCAAGGACCTCATATTGTGTTTAGGCACCGCAGCTGCAACATCACAAAGTTTGTTAAATAGTTGAAAATGCTTGCCAAGTATTTGCTAAATACTTAGTAAATACTTATTAGGGTTGTGTTTGGTTTGAATGACAGTGCAAGGACCTCACGTTTGATGTTTGGGATCTGCAGCTACAATAGCAGTGCAAGAATTTCATGCTAATGATTAAGCAAGAACCTCAAGTTGGTGATCAGGCACCGCGGCTGCGATAGCAGTGCAAGGACTTCATGTTGTAATTATGCTCCGCGGCTGCAATAGTGGTGCAATGATCTCAAGTTGATGATCAAGCAAGGACCTCATGCTTAATTAGGCTCCGCGGCTACAATAGTAGTGCAAGGACCTCATGTTTGATGATTAGGCTCCGCGGCTGTTCTGATTGAGCAATAATAATAACACAAATGATGTTCGCAATTACTTATCTATTTTAAAAATGACTGAAAATTTTACTTAGAAAATTCTGATGAGTTGCTTTAATTAAGGAATTGCTGCAATAAAATCCTCATTATGGTAGGATTTTAAATCCTATTTGAAGTCCTCTGAATTGGGAATGGTAAGTACTATTTATGTCTTGCAACGGTGGGGATAAGAGGTAAACCCTGGCTCTCGATATTTCCCGTAGCAGTGAAATAAGGTATTATTCCTCGTTTTTATATGATGTTATGACAGGCTTTACGACTCATAATAACTACTTTGATCAATAAAAAAAAAAAGCAAGTTTCTAAAAATGCTTGTTATTTCTTCGGCAACGCTTGTTATTTCCGGACTTCCGGGAATAACAAACATTGTTAGAAACTCAGTTTTACTGATTAAAGTGGTGATTATAAGTTGTCAAACCTCGTCATGCGATTGTATAGAAGGTGGATAATATAATATTATTTTTAGATTGAAAAAGACGGAAAAGGAAAATTTTTAATTATTTCCAGAAATCATAAGATTAGAAATTCTGATGGAACGCATAGTATCTGAGATTGGAATTGAAAAAAGAAGACGTTCATTATTATAGAAAATAATTCTTAATCGATGGAATAGTTTTATTTTTTTAAGATTATTGAGATGAAGTTAAAGACGAATAAAAGTGTTTTTAAGTAAAATTCGTTATAATGAAGGTAGTTTGTAACAAGTTCGCATTCAAATAAAAGGTTTATTTTTAAGATGGTTTGATCTTTTAATTTATTTGTTGTTTTTATATTAGGGTTATTAAAAATTTGAACGAGAATTAAATGAGTTAGTAATGACGATTTTAAAAGAACTTAAACAAGAAAGAATAGAAAGAGTTAAATGAAAAATCGGATGCTCAGCATCTTTAATTCGCCATCAAAAAATCAAATCTCCATATAACCCGATTTCGAATCAATATAAATGGGCTTTTGCTGGAAAAAGGAATGAAATTGACAAAAAATTCTTTACAAAAAATTAATTATCTCGCGACAATAGATAAGAATCATGTGTTTTGATAATAATTGATTCGTCTCATCAAGGCGAATCGGGTGATACCAAAATTATGCGATTCTGATTGTTGATTCGCAAAATATTTAATTTTTTTTTAAAGAAATTTTTTGTCAATTTTCATCCCTTTTCTAACAGCAAGCATATTGACGTCGCTGATTGAAAAGTATGATCAATAGAAATTGTCTATATTGTCATGAAAATCACAGGGAGTCACGCCTTTTGCAGAGCACTAACAATTCAAATTCGTACATCATCAATATATCCATTTAATAATAATTTCGTGAGCATACAAACATAGTAACTACAAGAAAATACTTCATTCACGATAATTTATAAAAAAATTTAATAATCTACTTTACAGAAACTTAATTACCATCATAACTACATAGTTACTATGCGGTTGCTGCGCATTAAAAGATTTAAGTTTCTGTATAGTAATATTAGAATTTAGTATTTAAAAATATATCTATCGATTAAATACATACATATATATCCCGTATCTGGTTTTAGCACAATAAAAAAAAAAAAAAAGCAAAGAAAATGCAGTGATCGTAAATCGTTATGGGATCAAATTCAGTGTATCCCCTACCTTTAATAAATTTTCTAAAAATATCAAAATAATAGTATATTAACTATATAATTATATTTAATGTAATTTAAATAAAGAAAATTTATATAAATATATTTTTAAGGTATTTATAAATTTTTTAAAGGCGGGGCTATGATCCTTTCCCATAACCTGTAGCTAATTATATAATACTAATAATACAGCCTTATAGTTTTAATTTCTCTTCTTTCGTGCTAACATCTAGGGATGATGGTGATACTAATTAAACAACTAAATCTAGTAATTTAATACATTAGTATATATCACAAACATCTCGAGAAGCATTAAACATTCGCAACAATAGCATTTAATGCACTGCATGACAAAATTTTCATATCATACCGCATATGTATACTGCTTTAATCATTTAAGAGAAAAAGATTTTCAGATGCCCCGTTAAACGAAGGTCAAGTTAGATTTATTGTAGGGTTATCTAAAATACAAAGTCATCTGTATTTGGATTAAAAACAGTAACAATATCACAATTATAAAATTAACTTCAAAGCGATGTAGGAGCACGTTAGTTCTAAGATTTCACTTTATATAAACACACAGACCTTACGGTAAAATCCTTTAAAGCATACAATTTTATTACAACAGACTTTTTTTTTTAAAAAAAAAGATAAAAATAGAAATGGTCTTAGAGAATAACCCTAAAAGTCTCGAGGAGTATTTGAAACAAAGAGAAATCGGTAATTCCAATCCGATAGGTGAGTTATTTTTCTTTCTTGAAACATAAATTTTTAAAACTTTAATTAAACTTTTTTTCAAAATCATTAGGACTATTTGCATTCGGAACTACACAGCTCATATATTCTTTGTATCTTATTCAAATAGCAAATATTACTAATCATCAAGTTGGGCTTGGTTCCGCTTTATTTTATGGTGGTATTATTCAAGTACTTTCTGGAATATGTGGATTATTTTCTGGCAAAACTCTCAGTGCTACTATTTTTTGTTCGTATGGTATGTTTAAAATTATATTTATAACTTTATCTGTTATCATATAAAAATTCGTTAAAATTTACTCTCGTAGGTGGTTTCTGGATCTCTTTTGGATTTATTTATCTGCCAAGCTCTGGGATCATTGATTCATTTAAAAATGATCAAGCGATGCTTAGAAATGCCATTGGAATATATCTTACCGTATGGACTATCTGTTAGTATTTTTCTTTTAACCTTACCATGTCTTATTTTGGTTTCATCAATTTATCTAATTTTTTCTCAATGTTTTTATTTAGTTACATTGTTAATGTTAATCGCCTCCGCAAGAACTACGATTTTAGAAATTTCAACACTATCGTTTGTATTGATTGTCTTTATTTTTCTTGATCTCGCTAATTTTACTGGTTTAAATGTTTTTTCTCGCATCGCTGGATACTTTGGAGGTAAGAATTTTTAAAATATTACTATTACGGTAATCTTATCTTGTTATTGTAATAAAATTTTCTTCTTTTAAAGTGTTAGTAGCTCTTGGTGCGTGGTATATAGCAATGGCTCAATTACTTACAAAAGAAACTTCATATTTCTTATTACCGCTTTTCCCGATAGATAATATTAATATTAATAATAATAATAAATCATCTAGACTTGTTTAATTTCGATTATATAGTAACTATAAAGTTTTTAGGGTATTAGTCATATTCTTTACGATACTTTCTTTTTGTAAAAATTTATAAATTTTGAAATCTTAAATTTGTTAGAATTTGATTTGTTGTAAATTTATTGTTGGATGATATTTAAAATTTAATTCACGTTTTAATAATGAACGATTTTAACGCTTATCGGAGTTTAATTCGTAAAGGCATACAATTCTCAAACGGCTTTATTAAATAAAAAAGCCTGTGGGGTGTTAGATATCATATGATTAACTATCATAGTTCAGCACTATATGATTGGCCCGTTATTTCTTAATTTTCCGAAAGCCATTTTACCGATATTCTATTTTTCCGATGTCCTTATCTTGAAAGTCCTTTTTTCCGACAGGACGTATTACTGACAGCCCATTTATTTACAGCTGTTTTCATAAATTCTGGGACACCCTAAAAAAATTTGCCGAAGTCTATTCGGCCGAAGTCGATAAGTT